GCGTGCGTAAGCGATGCGCGACTCGGCTTACCCCGCCGTAGACCGCGTCACCCATCCTCTTTCGCTCGTATTTTCTCCGTCCCTCCCCGCCGGCCGCCGGCCGGCCGGCCGGCTCTCTTTTTTCGTCCTCTCGCAGGGTATTCCCGGTCGCGCCGCCGCTGCGCCGAGCGTCCTCTCCCTCGCTCCTTACCGAAGATGCTTGCACGCGATCGCAGTTATTGCCAATCTCTCGCGACGTCCGATGAATCCTGGCAATGTCACGGGACGGCTAGTTTAGTTTCTCCCGCGGCGATGATCTGCGACGGGTCTAGGTGGTCTCGGACGTAATCTCTCCCCGTCGCGCGTCGCGCCGCTTAAAATTCCGATTCCACCCTCTTCCACGGCTGTTCGCCGCTGTCGCGCGTGTTCGGTCGGGCGAACTTTGTTGCACGAGTCATGGATTACCTGCCGAGCTCCGAGAGACGAGCGACGATCAGGGAGTAACCCGTCCGACCAGTAAATTCGTGGAATAGCCAACGTTCGCAGGTATTCAATCGAATGACGGATCGAATCGATCAAGGCTCGATCTCGCCAGGCGTGTCACTGCGTCGACGTCGTCGCGACAAGTGCGGTTTGCTCAGAGTTCACGGCTCGAACATGCGAATTCGCTTGCTGGGCTGGCGATCCGACACGCACGCGACTCTCCGCCGTCGTTCCGCGTTGTCCCTGCTGCGAGATCCAGGAAATGCGTGCCGACTTAATGAATAGGAAACGGCGGGTCCGCGAAGAACGGGGCATGGTATGCGAAGAATAAGAGGCACGCTCGCCTTCCCACGAAACGGAATGCAACCGAGCGTCGTTTAGACGCCGAACATGAACGGTTCTTCCCGCCGCGAAGCGCGCCAGGACTTTCTTTCTTTCCCGGGGAAACGCGAGACGAAAGTTCCCGCGAGGTTGTCGACAGCTGAAGAAGCTCGGCCGGAGTAAACTCATTTTTGCCGGGCGCACTTACCATCGAGAGATAGCGACGCGACGTAGAGCCGCTTCCTCGTGAATTTACGCATTGCGTTATCGGTTCTCCGTCACCCGGGCGGCTCGATTATATAGCCGGTCCTGCAATAAAGGTGTGACCCGAGCGTCGCCGTGTCGTTTGCCCGCGCAATCTTCTTATTCTCCTGTTGCTTTTTAGTTTTCCGCTGATCGGCCGGCTGGACGGACCGTTCGGCCGACCTGATGAGGCGGTCGTACCGCGTGGACGGAACACCCGGACGTGTAGGTCCACGAAGTGGCGTGGCACGACGTTGTCGAATCGAAGGCCAGCAGAGGTCGTCGAACGGCCGCCTCTCGTTCCCGGGTGTGGGTGGTTGAAAGAAGGCCAGACAAATTACCCCCGGCTTAATACGACAATGTGCCATCAACTTTGGCCTACACGCTGACAGTTACTATTTCATATACCTCCTCGTTTCGCCCGGGCCTCTCGTTCCCCTCGCTTCTCCGGTCCTCCTTCTTTCGGCCAGCCACCCGCCGCGTTCTTCTGCTCCGCCACGTGCGCACCCAGTCCTGGTAAATCGAGAGAAGCGGGTACTCGATTCGACGGACCTTTTCTCTTGTTTCGCGCTGTCGTGGAACGAACGCGCCGGACATCCGATTCGATCGACGCCGGAACCGAGCACGTTTAAGAAAAGTAGTCGAGGACATTTTAGTCGAAGATCTATTCGACGGACATGTTTGTCTCGTACCGATCGAAAATCATGAGGAATCTCGAGAAAAGGTGAACGCGACGACGAGGCTGTGGACATGGAAGTGGTCGAGAATACTCGAAAGGAACGGAGGGATGCCGGTGGTGGACGGTAAAAGGGTTTCCTCTGCGTCCGTACTTTCTTCCTCGATTCCTCCCGTTCTCTGTTCCTCGTTTCATCACGAGCTTGGTCTTTCTTCGCTTTTAGACGCGTGAGAGATATCTCCGAATCATTAACGGCAATTAAAACATTGATCAACTGTGGAGTAGAGGCTGGCGTGGAGGAGGGACGCGCAGGCCAGACTCTGAAAAGGGTTCCGTGCAGCCTGGAGGGTAAGCGAACCCAGGAGGAAGGGAGGACCTCATGCGGCGAGAGCATATTACTTCGCAGGAGGCTGCGTAGGCCCACCTCCTCTTCATCCAATCCTCTTTTCTTCGGTCTTTCCCTGCTTCTCCCTCGTTCTTCGCGAGTCTTTGTGGATGCCCTCCTCGAAGCGGCAGGGTTTCTCAACCGATCCTCGAACTTTCGCCGTCGGAAACCCTCGTCGTAGGACTGGCGGCGTGCAATTAGCGCGGAACGTTAATCGCGCGATCCCGCGGAGTTCGACGAGGTCGTCGCGATCGATCGCAATCGGGACACCGGCCGACGCGAGTCCGCTCGGCGCCGTTTAACCGCGGAATGGTTGATCGGCGAGGAATTCCGATTCCAGCGGTTTTTAACGCGGTCGCGTGAAACCGATTCGGAAATGGTGGCTCGTTGGGAAAGGTGGCGGTGATCGCGGTTGGCTTATTTCGGTGCAAAGAAGAAGAATCGCGGCTCGAGCTGACCGTTTAAGGCGCGCCGTATCGTATCCCGATGTAAGCGGCTAGCCAGTATCGAAGATCTCTATCGGATGAGAGATCGAGAGGCGAGCAGCAACTCGTGCGGCTGTCCGCATCCGGGTGTCGCGGAATAGCAGCTATCTCGCGTTCCGTGTTCCCATAGAACGAACGAACGAACGAACGAACGAACGAACGTAGGAACGAACGAAACGGACGAAGGAACGAACGAATGTATATACATCCGACTACGTACAGGCGGACAGAGAGGGAACGGGTCTGCTCGCGCGCGTTCTCTCGTTTCTATTCCTCGTTGGAGCGCGCGGCACGCAGCGGAGCCGGCGCTTCTTGCCGCGTCGGAGGGAGGCGGTGGCTCGTACGTGGAAAAAGGAAAGTGGAAAGGACGGCGGCGGTGAGTAGGGGCCGAGAAGCGCGCGGCAAAGTCGCAATTCCGGAATGGGAGAAGGCTAGAGAGTCGACCGCGTACGAATGCATAATACGGTACCCGGAGAACGACCCCCCTGTCAGCAATCGACGCGTAAACGCCGCTAAACAAT